CTTCACTTAACTCGGGCTGTAGGGGGGCTACCGGGCTGATGCTAATAGGAATAGGTTTATAGATATGAGGCGTCCGCCTGTCGCATGAAGAGGTCTGAACTCGGTCTGCTACTCGAGCTAGGTTCGCGAAGCTATTTGTATTGTTCGAGTCATCTTGAGAGGTGCTCTCGATTTTCTGCACTTAACTCGGGCTGTAGGGGGCTATAGGGCTGATAATTGCAGGAATCGATTCGGAGACTTCAGGCGCGTTCCCCTATTACATTCAGAGGTCTGGAATCGGTCTGCTACTTGCGCTAGGTTCGCGAAACTATTCGTATTGTTCGAGTCATCTTGAGAGGTGCTGTCGATTTCCGCAAGTAACTTGGGCTGTAAAATAGCTACAGAGCAAATGCGTACAGAAACTGTTTCGAAATCATTATGCGCGTTCGTTAATTCCATCCAGAGGTCTGCACTGGGTTTGCTACTCGGGCTAGGTCCGCAAAACTACTCGTATTCTTCAAGTTTTCTTGGCATATGTTGCTTCTTTTCTGTCCTGAACTCGGGCTGTCGGAGAGCTACGAGCTGGTGCGCACAGAAAACGATCCAGAAGTATCAGGGGCGTTCGGCCGTTGCATCGAGAGGTCTGAAATCGCCCGGGCTGAAAAACTATTTGTTCTCTCCTATTTTTTGACATTATGTGTGCTCAGGAAGCTCTACGAGTCCCCGGCGGTAAGAAAGGTTGACGGTTTACCGCCGGCGCCCAGTGCGAGGGGGAGGAAGGAGGGAAGTAAGGAAAAACAGGAAAAGCCAAAGCAATATCGAGAAAAAAAAAAACAGAAAGAGTAGAGAAGCAGGAGAAGGAGAAGAAGGAGAGGGAGGAGAAGAAGGAGAATAAGAAGAAGGAGTCGAAGGATAATACTAATAATGAGGAGGAGAAGGAGCGGGAGCGGGAGCGGGAGTGGGGGCAGCAGCGGGAGTAGAAGGTGGATCAGGAGCGAAAGCAAGCAGGAGGGAGCGCAGAAACGGGAGCAGCAGAAAGAGCAGAGGGGAGCGGAAACGAGAGAAGAAGCGGGAGCAGAGAGAGAGAGAGAGAGAGAGAGAGAGAGAGAGACAAAAAAAGAGAGAGGGAGAGAGAGAGAGCGAGAGAGAGAGAGAGAGAGAGAGAGAGAGAGAGGAAGAGAGAGAGAGAGAGAGATAGAGAGAGAGAGAGAGAGAGAAAAAGAGAGAGGAGAAAGAGAGAGAGAGAGAGAGAGAAACATACATAGAAAGACAGAGAAAGAAAGAGAGATGGAAAACAGCAGGGGAGGGGACAGAGAGGGGGGGGGCCCGCGCGACGACGAGAACGACGACCGTGCGCGCCTCCTCAGGCGGCTGTGCTGGCTGTGGTCATTCCTGGATAGCTCCTTGAGCGCTGCAAAGTGATTCGTAGCGGTGAAGCTAGAAGAATAATTCTGGCGCGCTGGGGGGCTCGTTGGCAAACAAAATATCGTAGGAAGTTTTGCATATTTCTTGCTCGCATTCAAATTCGATTACTCGAATTTTGAATATTCGTTAGAGCTGTATTCCCCCCTTCTCCCATCTTTGATCATATTCCCGCTCGCCGTAATCTCAGTTCGATCCGGTACTTATTACTGCCAAAAAGCACTCCGGCGGGATCGGCTGTTTTGTGTCATCTTGACAGGTGCTGTCGGTTTCCTGTACTTAACTCGAGCTGTAGGACAGCTACAGAGCTGGTAGGCACATCTAATCGATTTATAGCCGTCGGGCACGTTCGTCTGAAGTATCCAGAGGTCTGAACTCGGTATGCTACTCGAGCTAGGTCCTCGAAGTTATTCGTGCTCTACTGATTCTTCTGGAGATGATACTGAATTTCTCGACTGAACTCTATCTGCAGATGCGCTACAGAGCTCTTCGGCGCAGCAATCGGAATGACTCGTAAAGCTTCCCTAAGAGCTTTAGCGGCGAAGCTACAAGAATAATTCCGGCGCGCTGGGGGGCTAGCCGGCAAAACAATCCCGTCGGAAGTTTTGCAAAATGTTGTTCGGTTTATATTCGATTTCTCGGAATTTCAACATTCGTTAGAGCTCTAATATTTTTCCTTTCAGATTCGATCTTATTGCTGCTCGCCGTTTTAATCTCAGCTCGATCCGGTACCTATTACTGCCAGAAAGCACTCAGGCGGGATCGGCTGTTTCGTGTCATCTTGACAGGTGCTGATGGTTTTCTCTACTTAACTCGAGCTGTAGGTTAGCTACAGAGCTGGTAGGTGCACGTAATCGATCTAGAGTCGTCAGGCGCGTTCGTCTCAAGTATCCAAATGTCTCAACTCGGTCTGCTACTCGAGCCAGGTCCGCGAAGTTATGTGTGCTCTAATAATTTCTTTTGAGATGATGAAGAGTTTCTTGATTTAGCTCGAGCTGCAGATGACCTACATAGCTCTTCGGCACATCAATCGGAAGGAAATCATCCGGCGCGCTAGTTTAAAGTATCTAGACGCCTGAGCTCTGTCTGTTATCAGCCCTGGAGACGAAAAACTATTCGTACTCAGCTATTTTTTTGAGATGGTGATGGTTTTCTGGACTTAACTCGAGTTGCAGGTCAAGCTACAGAGCTGTTTGGCACAGCAATCGGACGGAAATCATCAGGCGCGCTAGCTTAAACTAGCTAGACGCCTGAAATCAGTCTGCTATCAGTGCAGGGGCTGAAACACTATTCGTACTCTGCTAATAGTTTGAAATGATAATGATTTTCTTGACTTACCTCGAGCTGCAGATGAGCTACAGAGCTGTTCGGCACAGTCATCGTGAGGACATCAGCAGGCGTGATGGTTTAAATTATCTAGACGCCTGACCTTGGGTTGCTATCAGCGCGGGGCCGACGTATTATTCCTACTCGGTTTTTTTTTCGAGATGGTGATGGTTTTCTTGACTTAACTCGAGCTGCAGATGAGCTACAGAGCTGTTCGGCAGAGCATTCGGAAGGAAATCATCGGGCGCGCTCGTCAAAGTATCTAGACGCCTGAATTCGATCTGTTATCAGCGCTGGGTCTGGAAAAGTATCCGTACTTTGTTAATTTTTTATACATCGAAATGGTTTTGCTTGACTTAAATCGAGCTGCGGACGAGCTACAGAGCTGTTTGGCGCAGCAATTGGAAGGAACTAATCCGGCGCGCTAGTTTAAAGTATCTAAACGCATGAACTCGGTCTGTTATCAGCGCTGGGGCTGAGCAACTATTTATACTCTGCTTTTTTAAAATGATGGTGTTTTTTTACGCTGTTCGGCGCAGCAATCGGAAGGAATGAAGAGGGGCGCTAGCTCGCAGTGTCCAGACGCCTGAACTCGGTCTGGTATGTCTGTTTTTGTTTTTCCAGATATGCTTTTCCTTCACCCCTTCTTCTCCTCCACGTCGTCCTCCATGAGACCGCGCCCTCGCGCGCGCAGTGCGAGATTGCCGCGCCCGCATTTCACGAGGAAGCTCTACGAGTTTCCTGCATCCTATTCCGATGCCTATGCCTCAGTGGCTCGGCAGTGTGATGATAAGAGATGCCTTCTCTAGCTACCCTGTGCTCCGTTTGGGAGTCTTAGGGCTCAGCTGTCACAGCTGTCCGCGCCCTGACTCAAACTCAAAAACCAAGGTTGACGGTTTGCCGCCGGCTCCCGGTTGGTCGACCCGGCCAGAAAAGAAGATGTGATGACTTTGGGTCGGTTTTGCTAAAATTTGAAAGATATTTGACAATTCATTTTAAGAAAGCAGATTTTGCGCACCTGTAGACGACTATAAGAGCCTCTGCGTCTTAATATGAGCTCTGTAGGCACACTTTTACTATCAAAACACTTGGCGAAACCAACCTCACGTCGACATAAAAAAACATGAATTTTGATCTTTTTCGAGAAATGCTTCCAGAAGCTCTCTCTTTCGATTCTGAGCAATCTTACGCGTGCAAGGAGCTCTACGAGGTTCCCGGCGGTGACCAGGTTGCTTCCTTCTTTCTATTCTTATTTGTCTTCTCGCGTATTGGCAGTCTTGTGCATATCTGTACAGCTTCGCTGTTTGATGCACCTCTGCTTTAATCTTTGCAGCTTCGCTGTCTTCCTGTACAGCTTCGCTGTTTAGGTTCTTTGTGTTTAGGCCTGCTCCCATGGGAGCTCGAACCGGCCTTCGCAAAAGACGCAAAATACCAGGTTGCTGCTGTCCCTCCTCGGGCTCTCAGCGGCGACCTGGCCCGTCGGAGGCCTCCTCGAGCGGCATTGTGCCGTGCCTGGTGTTTGGTTCTGTTTACCGTGCACGGTGCTTCAGTGTCTGTTTTGCCTGAGTACCGTACACTCTCATTGATTGTCGAAGGCCTGTCCACGCCCATTGTCGTCGGAGTGCACATTGTTGTTGAGATTGTCGGAGTATCGTTGGAACAGCATTTTCCTTGGTTATCTCAACTGTCCATCTAGTTATTGCTTGTGCTTTGCCTTCTTCTTGTTGAGCGAGTCCACGTTTTATATATGGAGTTTTTTTCATCTGAATTGTCAGGCGCGGATTCTGTTGCTTCAGATTGGACAGATACGGCGTTGTATACTTCCGAGTTTCTCGCTTGTTTGTCTGCTCGTTTGTCTACGGTCGAAGTGTGTGTTAGTGATCTATATTGCCGTGTTCGCCCTTCGTACGGAGGTGAGTTTCGCCTGCATGAGCGAGACCAGCTGTATGGGCATGGTGTCAAAGTTTCTCAATCGAAGTTGCGCCGCCTGCGGGCGAAACGTGTCAGGTATCGTTTGTGGTCCACGGCTCGGATGCCAGATCCGTCGTGCCTTGTTCGCGCGGGCATTTGCGCGCCCAGATATTATCGGAATTTCTGCTCGGACGATTCTGAGGAAGAGGAGTGGGTTGAGGACACTTGTGGAACACAGACTGATATGGATGCTGTTGAATTGGCTGGCCGATTGTGGGACTCAGACAGATCCAGGTGTTCACATAGCGTGTGGGACTCAGACTGATATTTGTGTTCTCTTTGTTGGTGAGGAGGAGAAGGAGGAGTGTCATCGAGTGCGCGCTGATCAGGGTGATGCTTCTGCAGTTGGGAGTTCCAGTGCAGTCGGGAGTTCCACAGTTCGGAGTGCAGTAGGAAGTTCTACAGTTCGGAGTTCCGCTGATGCAGTTGTTGATGCAGTTGGGAGTTCAACAGCTTGGAGTTCTGCAGTTGGGAGTACCGTGGTTTGGAGTTCAGCTGATGCAGTAGGGAGTTCCATGACTTGGAGTTCTGCTGTTGCAGTTGGGAGTTCAACGGAGGCTGACCGCAGGATTCGGTCAGATTCTGTGGTTGGGAGTTCTGCAGTTGGGAGTTCCGCAGTTTGGAGTTCATCTGATGCACTGGGGAGTTCCACGACTGGGAGTTTATCTAATGCAGTTGTGAGTACAGCAGTGACGGAGGACGAGGAGAAACGTGGCCATGCAGACTATTTGTATCAGTTGGCGTGCAGTTTAAGGATCAGGAAATACTGTTTCCGCAAGTCTGGCTGGGTAAAGCTCGTTTACTCTTTCACGGCTGCCACGCAGTATCGCCTTATGGCCTCGGGTGCCGAGGAAAAAGCTGTGTTGCTTGATGCGCTTCTGTGGGGGCGCGCGAGACTTGGCCCGATAGCCAACATGACCCATATGTCGACGGATATCAGAGACTTTATGCACCACAGACTCGTTCCTAAAAGCGTTACGCAAGCTATGTACGACGTTGAAATTTCAGGATGAATGGATGCGTCGCAATGTAATGAACTACCGCGAGTTGGCGGCCAAGGTCGGACACCCAATTGATTAAGTGATTGAGTGATTGCACATGCTTCTGTTTGTGTTAGTGATCTATATTGCCGTGTTCGCCCTTCGTACGGAGGTGTATCTCGCCTGCATGAGCGGGACCAGCTGTAGGGACATGGCGTCAAAGCACACGACCAGGTTTCACTTAGACATGTTTTCACACGACCAGGTTTCACTTAGGCATGGTGTCAAAGCACACTCGCTATCTCAGTTCTCTTAGTTTTGTGTTTTTCTCAGTGGTGTTGAGACGGTAATCGCTGTATAAACCAGTGGTTACTGTATGGTCTCTCACTGCTTCTTGCTGTCTTGTGCAGCTTCTTTCATCATCTTTGTTGTCTAGTTTATTGGCAGTCTTGTGCATATCTGTGCGGCTTCGCTGTTTGATGCACCTCTGCTTTAAGATTTGCAGCTTCGCTGTCTTCCTGTACAGCGTCGCTGTTTAGGTTCTTTGTGTTTAGGCCTGCTCCCGTGGGAGCTCGAACCGGCCTTCGCAAAAGACGCAGAAGACCAGGTTTTCTGTGCGCACACGTATCGTACTCCATTGTACATCTCGTGTACGGGCCGTCCCATATCTTCGGGTACTTCGTCGGCTGCGACGACCTCCTCTCCGTGGGCCTACAGACGATAGGTGCCAGGTTCTCTGTTGTGTCAAGTGAGACAGCTCCTATTGGAGCAGGTGCATAGGCCGCTTGCTTTGATCGTACTCGTTGCATTTGTTATCTTGTACTTCGGTTCCGGATCCTTACGTTATCTTTCAGGGGAATCTTTGCAGGTCTAACCGCAAAGTCTGCTTCCTATCTAAACGGGATCTTGAGGCACTTTCATACTGCTCCCCGCTACTATTCCGAAGGGTGGTCAAGTTGCCGGCTCGGCTTCTTATACCGACGGGCCTTGGTGGTCCTCATTTCACATATGACTGGTGCAAAATCCCATACTTCAAAGCTTGCCGGGACAGCGGCTATCATGGTCTGTATGTCAACGTTCGGGGTCCCGATGAGAGGGTTCGTAGAGTTCCTTGGACAGAATTTGTTGCGGGTCAGTAGCCGTTTTGCCTCAAATCCTTTCTGGAGCTCCTGTCTGGTACGGCTGGGAAACTTTCAACTCCAGTGGATGGCTAAACGCTGCCTTCCAGTCATGCTTGCTGCCAAGAAGCGTCTCAAGTGGTCCCATGGCTCGGGCGGAATGTGGAACTACTGCGAAGTAGACGAAGTCTACACGAAAGTGTGGAAAACGGAGTACTTTGACACGTGGATCGATCCCGATTCGGGCTGGCCTCACCCGGTTGTGTGGTACTTGTCCGATTACTGGTGGGATGGAGATTTCTTCGTGGAGAAGTGGCGGTGGAGGTATGGCTGAAGAGCACTCCTGGGACTTCCTTAGACTGGAATCTTCTGGTGTCCGTGGTGCGTGGGCCTGCGGCTTCTTGGAGGGCTCTCAGTCTTTCTCAGTCTTTCTTGCATGTATTTCTTATGTCCTGGGGATAGGGTCCTCAGACATTTCAGTTCAAACGTCGGCGGCTCGCCTACGATGGTGGTTTGCAAATACAAAAGGTTATAAACAATTCCAGCCACCTTGCGTTCTCCATATTAGTTTGAATTCATCCATATTACATATTCCTCGACAGGTCTGGCGTGGGTTCTCATGGTTGGGATCTCATTCAGCTTTGACCGTTCATCTTGCGTGCCTCCGTATCTTCTGGTTTCATTGCGTGCTTGGGTCGTTCAGTTTATCATTCAGATTCTCTTTTAGTCATATATATCAGCCTTGATCACTACTCATGTTAAATGGGTTTCATGGGACTTAATGAAAGTTTTCTTCACCTCTTACTTTAGACCTTGGGACCATGTGCTTTCAAAGTTGGGACCCAATTGTCACTCAAGATCTTGTTAGTCAAATTTGGGCATCCCTTTTCTTCTGTTTCTCTATCTTCATTCAACACAAGAGGAACCTAGTGGTGGGATTTATTTGGGATCTTGGACAGTCTTTCATTTATGTTTTCTTTCAGTATCCTGGGTTTCAATCCTGGGTTGGGCTTTACCTATTCTCCGCTTCTATTCTTTCCTGCTTCTTCGCCTTCTTTCTCTCTCTACCTTACGCATTTGGCGTATTGGTGGCTTCTCAGGTTTGTGTTATGGGAGGGCCGACCTTTCAAGGCGCTTCATCATCATCATCATCATCTTGTACTTCCAGGCCGCTTGTTTTGTACTTGTTGCATTGTCTGCTTGTACTTCCAGGCCGCTTGTGATTGTGCTTGCCGCATTTGTTTTCTAGGACGAGTTGCTCTCAGCACGTATCCAATTTTGACTCTAGTTGCAGTTCGAGTTTCTTCAGTACTTTGACAGTTTTGTGACATCGGAGTATCCTGCTATTGAGGTCTTTGGGCATCCGATTTCATATTTCGCCTCGAGTGAAGTTCAGAATTGATTGTACTTGATATTGAGGTCTTTGATGTTGAGGTCATACGTCGCCTCGAGTGAAGTTCAGAACTCATTGCACTTGATTTCCACATACTTCGAGTTAGAACTATTGTGTTTTGTCATTGCGTTGCCTTTATTCATGCCTGTGTGTGTTGTCGTGCATGCACGTGTGTTGAATAAGAGCTTCGCCTGATCTTCACTTTGTTCGGATAAGGGCCCGCATTCGCTCTAAGTAGTGGTGGGTGTCTTGGCTCACTCTGTATGTTGCGCGCTTAATTCGTTATCTAGTCCACATTTCGACGTTGTGTTTCACGTGCATGGTCTTCCAGTGGTGCTGAGACGGTAATCGCTATATGTGGTTACTGCATGGTCTCGCATTGCTTTGAAGCGCACTCGCTATTTTTAGTTCTCTTAGTTTCGTGTTTGTCTCAGTGGTGTTGAGACGGTAATCGCTGTATAAGCCAGTGGTTACTGTATGGTCTCTCACTGCTTCTAGCTTTGCTTCCATATCTATGGCCTGCATTGCTTCACTCATTATATTGTTTGTTGTTTTCTCGTGTACTTGCAGTCTTGTGCATTTCTGTACAGCTTCGCTGTTTGATGCATCTCTGCTTTAATCTTTGCAGCTTCGCTGTTTAGGTTCTCTGTGTCCTGGCCTGCTCCCTTGGGAACTCGAATCGGCCAACGCAGACACCGCAGACCAGGTTGACGGTTCACCGCTAGCGCCAGTCTTGACCCCATCCCGACAACGATAAAGAAGTAGACGTTTCTTGAAATGCCTTCGAACACGATTCCAACGACGACGACTATCCTTGAACGTGGCCTCATCGATCTGACCAGATTTCCAGAGTTTGTCAACCCTGTAGCGGGCCTCTTTCACCTGAGCCTCCTTCTGGGTCAACTTCGGGACGAGCGAAGCCGATTTAAAGCCATTGCAGCGTTTATCGGCAACAGCCCCCTCCTTCAATCGTGATTCCAGGTCGGCTAGAGAAACATATCTCCAGCTAGTATGCCAAATCACCCTTCCCTCAGACTCCTCCGTCCAGTGCTGATTTGTGCGTTTGTTATTTTGGCTACTTCCCCCATCAGATTCCCACCCATCAACCTGCGTAACAGCCAGATCGAACTCTCTGCACTGTTTCGCCTCCTTACCCTCCTGCACAAACCACGAAGCGAACGATCGACTGCCAGTGGCCTTCGTCCTACCAGAGGACTTTTCCTGCAGCGAACAAGGGGGATCAACACATATCATCTTGGGGTCACTCCATTCCGTGTCACGAGAGCCAGGAGGATGCGCATGCATAACGTGCAACTTCGAACACATAACATGAGTCTCCCAAGTCACAGGCACGCAACATAATCAATGACATGCTTAGTCCTACACCTCCGCCACACAGGTAAACTCACGATCCAGGAATGTGTTAATCAGCTTCAGACGTAGCTGGGCCATACAGATACACCAGGCCTGGTTCTGGCCGTTCTGGTACAAATGGAGCGTGGCCTGGTACCCCTCAGACGTTGTCCCAAAGAAGCCTTGCTGAGGAAGATACACGCTAGCATAGATGAATGCGCCCACTTCTGGCCCACGGAAGGCACAGACCGCAAATCTTCTACCAACAGCGTTCCCCAAGAAACATGAGTTAAGAGTAGACGGGAATAGTACACCTGCTTGGCCCTCTGTAGAACCACTGTCAAGCTTCACCTCAGCCGAGCAACGATAGTGGAAACCAGCCTCATTCAACGTACCCCGTCCGAGGAACTGGCACTCCTGGAGCCCGACGAGTTGCGCTCCAAGCTCACGCAAGTAGGTAAGATCAGATAGAGCAGTAGCATCACTCATCATTCTGACGTTCCAACTGGCCGCCCTCAACGGGCGCGTGCGACGTCATACAGAGTCACCATTCAGCAGCGTCTGCCAGGGCCCAGGGAGAATCTTGTCATCGAACTCAATCACCGATTCTGGCCTCAGAGTCCAACCATGCCTGGGGTCCCAAGTTCCCAAACAGATCTGCCCACCGGTTTCA